TTAGAGGTCATTGGAGTTATCTGGCAGGGATAAGCAAGCCACAAAATGACTTTCCAACATTTCTCTGGTTCAAACCCAAAGCTTTAGCATCTTACTTGCTGCAGATACAGAGCCTGAATGGAGCTGCCCCTACAGCAGCATGTGAGGCTGTAGCATTCTCCTCTCCCTTGGCCACCAGCACCCAGCTAAGGCTGCAGTGAGCTGGGAGATGATGGGAAGCACCTGTTGTGCCCAAATATGAGGGGAGTCACATGCAGTGCCACCAGCATATCCAGCACTGGGGACTGCAGCTGAGGATGTGCATCTCTCCTCGCATTTCTGCCAGGCACTCCCTTGTGCTCCCTCAGCCCCAGCTGCTCTGGGAAGTTAATCCCTCCCAGTCAGGATTTTCATAGTGGCACCATGTTATTAAAACGTGTGAAAAACTTCTCCCATGCAAAAATAAATGTGTCAGCTTGGAAACAAGGGCAAGTGGAGGATGGAGCTATGTGGAGGAGGGACAGGTGCCCAGGGTCCCTCCCCAACAGCAGCGTTTCTGCCATTGCGTTGAGCTGAGCTGCATAAAATAACTTACAGTTTAATTACAGGGGCTCCTGCTTGTTGGTGTCATTAATGAGGCAACTGGCTTAATTTAGCTGAATAAAAATGGCTTTAATAGTGGAAACACTTTTGGCTGCTGGGTAATTAAGGGAAAAGAAAAAATGCTGTCTCCTCTTGCATTAAAGTCCACTTGTTCTGGTCCTCACGGATTTGGACTTGTTTGTTCCACTCTTACCCATTCCTTTTTTAACTTCAGGAGCTTGTTCAGGACTCTATGGGGCACCCCATGGCCACATCTGTTACTCATGCTGTGACAAAATGGCAAAGGTCACCTCCCCTCCCTGTTGGGCACCAGCAATGTCTTGGCAGTGCCTGTGGGAGAGTGCGTGGGACACGGAGTGTCCCCTCCTGAAATGGAGGGAGAGAGCAAGAACTGGGATTTAGCTGTCACTCAGAGGTAACAGCCAGCCCTTGAGGTGTGCAGTGAGGTGCTGGTGCAGAGGGCTGGTGGGGATGGAGTAGGAGCCTTGGGAGCACAGCTGCTGCAGCAGGAGCTCTGTGGAGTGGTGCTGAGCCTGAGCCATGGGTGGGTTGGGTGGCTCTGCCCTGGACCTGGTCCAGGTGAGCTCTCTCCAACCCTCTCTCCCTGCTCAGCTCCTTCTGGAGGCAAAAAGCAACCTGGCAGCTACTTCTTGATACTGTCTCCATGGAAAAGAGCATCTTGTGAGTGATGGAGAAAATGTCCCATGGCAAAGAAGCAGTTTGAATATGTTCCAGGAGTGCTGATGGCAGATCTGTCCTGGGAGAGACAGGCTCCTGTTCATGCTGAGAATTATGCAGGGAAGGCATTTTGCTTCCCTCTGCCTGTGTTTCCTTGATGTGTGATGTGCTGTATTTTGTTACAGGTGGAGCTGATGCATAGGCTGTTATAAAGGTTGTCTGGCACACTGCTACAGGACTGTTTCCACTTTCCTATAATTCTGCCAAATTTTAATTGCTCAGGCTGAGGTTCTCAGGTTGGGTGTCTGCTCCTGGCTGATTCTATTTTTTATTATTTCTTTCTAGTCTCGTATAAGAGCTTTCTCAAATGTTTGAGGGGGTAGAAGGGAGGTTGGGAAAAAGCTGTTTTGCTCAAGATAGAAAATGCTGGTGATGCTGCTGTTACAGAACATTTGCACCCTCCTTTCGTGGAGGGAAAGAAATCTTGTCAAAGGGCAGATTTTGCTTGGAAGACTTGGTTTTGCTCAGGGACATCTTAGGTCAGCAGAATGGCTCTTGATCCACTTGGAGGGGAGAAGTTTTGCAAAGGATGTTCAGTAATGAATAAGGGAGAGGAGTAACAGCTCTTCTTGGGACACTGCTGTTGGTGTGGGAGGGTGTAAAAATGAGGAAGATCATAGGAAATTTGGGTATGATTAAGGAAATTGAGGCTGAGAAATATTTGGGAGTGGTTGGAGAGCAATGAATAGTGTGATTTAGCTAGGAGGGAGAAGGAAATGGGTCAGGGAGGAGAGAGCTGGCACTGCCCAGCCAGAGCATAGGAGGATGAGGGTTCTTGTCACTCCAGTAACAGGGATTTGGAGGTGGTAACAGACTTGGAAATGCTGCAGGAAGGCAGAATGGGCCTTTGAGAGGCCTCGATTTGGAGCTGTGAGAGGACTAGTTCTGGATGTGAGTGCCTTGGTTTTCCCCAACCCTCCCCACTGATGCTGTACAGAACGCTGGGAAGCTTGGTGTGTGCAGCTGAGGTTTGTGACTGGGGGGAACCTTGCAAGCACCAAACAGGAGTTACAAAGTGCTGGAGCTCAGAACCTCACCTCTGGAGCCATAATTTAATCTCCTTGTGTGCATGCACTGTGATTCCATCTTAAATTACAGAAACACATTATCCTTCCCCAGGAAACCTGTCCCATCCAGCATGTGGGATGGATTTGTTCTGGGGAGAAATCACTGCTGTGCAGTGAAGTTTCTCTGGAGGAGCTCTGTCCTCTGCAGCACAAGTCAGTAGCTGTACCCTTCTGTATGTGGAATCCCAGTGCTGGCATCTCTGACCTTTGGAGTTCTTGTGACCGAAATAGTGTATTTTTAATGTGTGTTTGTGTGCAGCTCCTTTCGGTCTCTGTGCTGAGGTCTGTCTCTGAGCCTGAGGAAGGACCTTTGTGACGTTTTGAAGTACCCAAGGTGTCTGTTTCCAGTGACAGACATGTTCCTCCTCCCTGTGTGTGTCCAGGCTGATCTGAAACGGAGCCGTGGGCGTGTGTCCCCCTGACCAGCCCTGCAGAAGTTGATGGTCAGGTCAGATCAAACACTGGCTTTGCCCTTTAAGAACAGAGTCTCCTGCCAGATGTGTGCAAGGGAAGACCCATCTCCTCTCTGCCTACTGCTTGCTGTGGGTTATTGTCTGGGGGAGGGAGGAGGAGGTAGGAGTTGGTTTCCAGGCACTGTGGGAGTTGAGAAGCGGAGCACATCTGCCTGGCAAAGCCCCTTGCATTAGTGAGGATGTATCCTTTCTCCATCTCTCTGTGTCCTAAATTGTAATAACACGATCATGCTATTTTTGATTCCCTTATTTGCGTGGAAAGCCTGTTGTTTTTTCTCTTCTTTTCAGAATCCAATTTTCTCTTGACATTTCTGCCTAATGTAGCAAAACATGACCTTTGAGAAAGGACATTCCAGCGAGATTCACTCCCTCCTCTGCATTTCTGCCTCTCTCCCACATCTTGCTGTCTCTCATGCATCCCCTTTACGCTTCCTTCTTCTCCCTGGGCTGGGGGAGGGAGTTTACTGTCTCACTTTTCAGTAACAGTGAGTTGCTCCTTTCCCTCCCACTTTTCTTCTGTCTTTGCAAAATTTCCAGGTGCTCAGTGCTCTGGGTTGGATAAAGGAGAGAGTCTTGTAATATTTTTCTTCCCCCCTGCTTAGCTTTATCTGCCGTTTTTTGCCACCTTTTTCAGAGACTGGAAGCAGTTTGTCTACAGACGTGGGAATGGTGGGATCATAGTCATGTGAAATGAGGTACCTGTGGTTTGCTGTGGTTCCCACAGCAGGATAGTCTGATGTGAAGCAGAGCCAGAATTTAAAAAGGCAGCACTGTGCCATCATTGTGTTTGGGCTTGTTCTTCTGCCAGGCTCGTGGGGAGCCTTTGGGACCATGCTTTGCTGTATGAGCAGCTTCCCCACTCCTAATTGCAGAGTTCTATGCAGGTGGGACAAGACTAGAATTGCTTTCCCCTTGCTGAAACTCAGTGTAAAGGAAGAAATGAATCTGTCATCCCAAATCCTCGTGCATCAAACCTGTGCCAGCAGGAGCCATTCAGGGGTTTGCTCTCTTGGTTTTAGCACTTATTTGAAAATCAAACTGGGTTTGGGGGCTGAGCCTTGCACAGCTGGACTGCCTTGGGTCATACCTCCTATTTGGCCAGCCCAGAGCTGAATGAACCTCAGGTGATTCACTCCTCTGGCTCCTCATTGCTCTTCCCCGTGGGCCAGGCTGAGGCAGAGGGGCTGCCCTGCCTGCCTGTGGCTCACAGCAGGGATGGATTTGGTGAAGGATGTGAGGCAGCACCTCCTGTGTGTTCTGGAGGCCAGCAAAGAGGTTGGGCATTTGGGGTTCTCCCAGGGCTTGAGATCACCCGTTCCTCTGCTCGCTCACCCCATGGGCTGGGCACTTGGCTGGTGGCTCTCAGGCTGGCCAGGTATCCCTGGGAAGGCTGGCCAGAACAGAAGGTGTTTCATTACCATCTTTTTGTGCTGTTAGAAACCGGGGGCTGTTCTCCTTCTGCTCACCCTGCTCCAGACACATTTCTTGTTTTTATTAGTTCAGTTCCTTTTACATTCTTTCATCCTCTCTGGCTTTCAGCTAAAGAGAAGATGTCTGCTGGGTTGCAAAGCTCTCCCAGGTAGATGAGATTTATGTTTTTGCAAGTTTGGGCAGATGGAGAGAGGGATGGGGAGCTGTTGGCTGCTGTAGCAGTGGTACCCCTGGGTGCAAGCAGCACACAGTCATTCTGGGACACCTGGAAAGCACAGCTACTGCAGATCATATGATAACACCTTGGGTAATCATCGTGCTGTCATTTGAACCTGGCTGTTACTATTTTTAACATGAGGTTTGTACTTAATTTTTTGTTCAAGTTCTGAAATTAGACTTGTTCTTTTTGCTTATGGTTGGTTGAGCTCCAGATTCATGGGTAAGAATCAGACATTGGATTTTTTTCCTTAACATTGCAGCAGGATATAAATCATTTTTCCCCTTAAAAAAAAAAAAAAAAGAAGAGGAACTTTCATTTGGGTTTGTCCTCATTAAAATCTCTCATTATTAAATCTGAACTTGAGTTCTAAACTGCTTGACAGCCTCCCCATTGAGGAGGATGATGAGCTCTGTGGAGGTGGTAGGGCCATGTGCAGGAAGAATTATTTACAGTGACTACTTATTTTTTTTTCTCTCCCTTAATTTTCAGAGACCTCTCCGGGAACCGGCTCACCACTCTGTCATGGCAACTCTTCCAGACACTGCGACTCTTTGAACTGTAAGTCCCACCCTGGGGGTATCTCTTGGGAAAAGACAGGAGGATGAGAGGAGGAACAATTTCCAAATAAAGCTATTTTGAAGCCAGCGAATAATTACCTAAAATTCCACTGGGCAGCAACATCCTTGGGAGGCTTTCCTGGGTATGGGAGCACCAGAGCAGAACTGCTTCTCTTTTAACTTCACAGCAGCTGGCTAATTAACGTCGGGATGATGAACAAGTCATGGCTGGAGTAGTGAATGGTTGACTAACTCTGGGAGCACATTAGAAATACTTACTAGGCCAGATTTTGAGTGAATCTCTTCAAACACTTGCTCTCATCTGTCACAGGGTAGGCTAACTGCTTTTTTTTTAGTTGGTGCACGTGCTTTACAAGACACCCCTGCTTTTTTAGGCCCACAGTTCCCTTTCTCTCTAGCAATGGAGACACCTCCCAGCTCTGATGTGGGAGACCATGAGATAGTTGTGTCTCCTGGGGCACTGGTGGCCTTCAGCCTGTTGAATTATTGATAGAGCATTCAGCATCGTGCTTGAAGAATAAGTGGACACGAAATCAATGGAACGTTGCCCTGATGACCTGTTTTGTTGAATTTTAGAAATAGTTGTTTGGTGGGTATAAAAAAATATATATGTAGGATTTGTCCCAGAGGATCCTGGGAAGCTCCATTCATCCTCACTGATGATCAATAGAGCTGTAAGCTAGAAGTGACTTATGAAAGAATAAAGACAGTCTTTCAAGTGGGAGTAAGTGTGTTATCACCGGTGTTACTGCAGTGTATTTCATTTCTGTCAAATTGTTAAATGAAAAATACTAATAGTGATATTAGAAAATGGAGAAACGCCCTTCTAATGGGGAAATTTGGCTTGCAGAGTTAAAATGCTGAATTCAGAATTTGTCTCCTTGCTGATTACAGCTCTAAATATTTTTCAAGCCTGGCTTGGGTTTCAAGTTTAATAGCATGAGTCATTTGTATTCTTAGACCTTTACTTATTGTCATTGCACTGTCTGGCAAAACTCAGATTGATGGTTGTTACCCAAGAGAGACCCAAGAGTGGAGGAGCAAATGGGACTGCAGTCCTGAGCTGGAGGCACTCGCAGGGCCTGGGGTAATGGGGAGCCTGCAGATTAATGGGAATACTTCCAAAGGGGCTCGTTTTTATGTGCTTTTGCTTCATTTGGTCATATTTTGTTTCTTCAGGCACGTCCCAGGTCTGCCAGCTCCAGCCGGGCTCAAAAGACCAATACCAAGCACAAAGGGAATTGAGAAGCTGCTTTTTGGGCAGCAGAGGCTACTTCACCTGATGGATACATCTGTGTTGTCCTGATATGATGATCCTGGCAGGGAGCTGGTGTGCTTGGGGTGGCTTTGGATGGTGTCAGCAGAGTCACTTGGGGCCAGCACTCTGCTGCATGATGAGTGGGAAGGGGCTGAATTACTTGGCTCCAGTTGGAGCTGTGCTCAGAGCAGTTTTCTTGGAGGCAACAAACCCAATGAACCAAAGAAATGTGGGAGATCACAGGGCTGGTTGGTAGGAAGCTATGGTGGGGTGGGAAAGCAGTACTGGTGTGGTGTGTGCTGTCCATGGTGTCCCCTGGGGAGCCTTGGCATCGTGTGGGGCAGGAGCCTCAGCTGAATCTCTCCTGCTCCAGGCTGTGAAAGGGGTCTTGGCAAACCAACTTCTGGCACCAGCTCCAGGAAGCAATTTAGACCTAAAAATGTTCCTGCTCACAGGGCCTGCCTCACTCTTGGCTGGGCTGCAGTAAGAGCCTGGTCAAGTTCATTTTTCCTAAAGAATTTCTTTAGGTGCTTCCTGACAAAGGTTCCCCTCTGAGTTCCTTGTAACTAAGGACCCTTCATCCACATAAGCACAGCTAAGATGGAGATTACCAGAGTAATGTGGTGATGCTGTTCCCCAAACATGACAGGAGAGGGATATTTTTCTCTGATATCCACTGGGATGTCAGTTTTTAAGGGGCAGGGGGATATACCTGCAGCATCCTTCCTGGGACCATGTTGAACCTTGGAATTGTTGGCAAGAAGGCAGCACAGAGGTGTAGCCTGAGCTGTGGACTCTGAATAATAATTCATATAAAGGTATTGGGAATTAAGGTAAAGACATGTTACCTACTGTGAGGTGGTTGTGGACCTGACTGCTAGAAGGATCACTGTTGGTGAAGAAGAACAGATCTCCAAGATGGGGAGAAATTACTAATGGATCTACAAAAGTGGGAAATACTGTATTTTTTTTTTTTTAGAAATGCAGAGGATGGGGGAGTAAGAGACAGTTTTTTGGCACACTGAGCTCCAAGGAGGCTTCCAGAACCTGGGAAGGAGATGGAATACATGGCCCACATAAAGCGGGTGTGAAACACTGGTGAAAGCTAGAAAGGGAGTTACAGATTGACATCAGCCAAGGACTTGAAATTGAGCCAAAACTCTCTGGAAAGGGTGGTGAGCAGCAGAGGCCAATGCAGAGACAGCTAGCCTGAGGAAGACAGGCTGAGCAGCAGCATTTGTGCACAGCAGTGGAGAGGCCAGAAGATCCAGGGACACAGGGAACCTGGGAAGAGTGCCCTCTTCTCCAGAGGCTTACATGTGGATGGTTGGTGGAACAAGTGGGTGCAGAGGCTCACCAGAGATGCTTTATACTGAATTCCAGTGCCCTCGTGCTATCAGGCAATTATGGATCCAGGGGAAGGAAAGTCATGCAAGCCAAAACCGTGACTTACAATGAGGCATCTTGGAGCAATGGAGCATGTGGTGAGGGAAGCAGTGGGAGGATTGTCTCCAGGAGAGTGTTGGGAGGAGAGGAACTACAACTGAGTGTGTCATGGAGACTGCCGGGGAACATGAGTCCTGACAAAGCCACTCACAGTGAACAATGAGGAGTAAAGATCACAAGAGTACTGGGCAGGTGGATGGCAACTTGGGGCTTGAAATTGCTGCTTGACTGCATCCAAGGAATCACAGCCTCATGAACGTGGTATTGCTTTAAAGAAGAGTTTCTTGTTCAACAGAGCTGAGATTTTCCCCTGCTGACTCACTGAAGAAAGGATGGCAAAAATGAGGCACACTTCCAAAGAATATTATCTCTTGCTCATTCTGGCCAGAAAAAAAGACTTGGAATGGTTTCCAGCAACTCCAGCCCTAATTCCCATGGCATGGGCTGACCTTGACCAGCAGGGCTCGGGCTAATGAGCAAACTCTCCTAAGTCTGAAGCTGAGTGTGTGCAGGGAAGCATCTGACACATGCAACAGCTCATAAACATTGGACTTAGAGCCTTTCTTATCCAGAAGTCACAGCTGGTTTCCTCTGTCATGTCCTTGGCTTCCTTTGTCATGTCCTCAGAGAGCTTAGAGCTGACATTTCAAGAAATTCCTTCCCGGAAAGACCTAAGACTCTGGATCCAATTACATCTTTGGTTGTATAAAACCTTGTAGTCCTGAACATCTTGCTGCTCTGCCCGACCCATCAGCATTTCTAATACAAGCAGTCCCTGCCAAGTTGCCCTGCAGTACATTTCTGCAATGCTACAGCAAGAGGCTTTGGTGGGAATGGGGCACAGCAGCATCTCTGTTAATGTTATGAATCCAACTTAACATGGTCTGTGCCTCCAGCTTTGAAACTTATCACCACCAGCAGTCCTGGTAATAGAGCTGTGGCCATGCAGTGGGTACTTGCCTGTCTCTGCATTAGCCGAGCCAGCTGTCAGCCAGCACACACCACTCCCTGTCCCAGTCCTTCCCTTTCTATCCCAGCCCCTTCTGGCAGGAGTTCAGAAATAGCAGCTTTGGTTGGACCACCAAGAGAAACTCTGGTTCTGGGAAATTAATAGGAATTTAAAAAAGGTAGATTTTGTTCTCTCTCTGCTGAGCGCTCTTTGCTTCTCAAGCTTAGGGAAGTGGCCTCAGTCCCAAGGTAGGAAGAGCATTTTAATTGTAAGACTATGAAACCTTGGCAGGAATTTTATGTGAATTGAAACAGACAAGAGAAGTGTGGCAAGGATCTCTACTGCCCTCTGAGAGGTTTTAGCTGCAGACAGCTTTGCTTTAGCTGATGAGTGGGGAGGCATGGGACAGGGCATGTGTCTCATTTAGCTGCCTAGTCTGGAAAAAAACTGCTTGGGTATGTGAAGTCCTTGTCTGTTCCAGAACACACTGGAGTATTGATGGCATCTCTCTCCCACACTGGTCCACCCTGGTGAAGGCTGTCCAGGCAGTTTTGGGAGATAGTGGGTACAGCTCTCTGTAGGGAGCAAAGCTGGGCTCAACCAGGCACCAGAAGCAAGACTTTTTTTGAAGAGTTGACTTGATGCTTGCATAGCTCTAGGGTTTCAGCTTTGATGGGCCGTTGTCCCATTAAATGACAGCTCATGCCATGATTGCCCCAATTTTTCTCTTTCCCCATCATAGTGTGCCTGTTAGGGGAGGGACTGTGCCTTGAGTACACCCTATTATCACTCTCTGCTTATGGTGCTGGTGGATGGCTCTGTCTCAGGTGCAGGTTCAGTCCCTTTTCGGATGAACTCCTTGAGTGACAGAACAGCTCTGCCTGGGCAGAGGGATCTCCTTTGCAGCTATGATATTTGCTGTTTCTCATAGGCATTTTCAGTTTTAAGGAGGGCTGAAGAAGGTGTGGGGGTGTGCACAGCTCCTGAGTGCCTGCAGCCAAGTGATGCTTTGGCAACAATTGCAGCCTGCATGCAAAAAAATGCCCTTTGGGTTTGTTTGTTTGTTCCAGGAGTAAGTTGTGCTGGATGTGTCCCACAGAGCCTCTTGCCTTAATTCTCACTGGGGTGCTGCACACCCGTGGTGTGAAGCACATGGCAGTGTCCTCTGGTCCAAGATGTCATCCATGTCCACAGGTAGAGGGTTGTAGGTAGTGGAGGTGTGTTACAGAACAGTAAGAGGAAGAGTTTGGAAGCAGCTGCATCTCCTAATGGTCCCTGTAAGGAAGGGATCTGAGGAGAGAATTGGAAGTCCAAGTTTTTGGGCAGGTTTAGAACAGTGTGAGTGTGGCATTGCCTATGCACCTCTCTGGATAGCTGGCTGGCATGGCAAGGCAGGCACCAAACAAGAAGGAAAGGGTATTTTCTGCATGTTGGAAATGCATTAGCAATGCATGTTAGCACCAGTGGGTGCACACACGTGCCCCTTCTACCACAGAGCTGTGCCAGCTGCCCGTGGCACTCAGCACATCCAGCCCGTGATGGGAGTTAATTTGTGTAAAAGCCCCTCTGGGGGTCTCGATCAGAGCGAGTTACATCGCTGGTGTTGGGGCAGGTTGTGGGGAAGTTCTGCCCTGAAGCCCGTGGCTCCTGTATTATTCATGGCCCTTCATGAATTAGCAATGGGCCAGGAAAGCTGCTGTCTGTTACTTACAGAGCTTCCCTAAAGTGCTAGGACAGCAGCTCTCCCAGCAGCCTCGTTTTGTGAGGATATTTGCAGCGGAGCAGAATTCCTCCCCCATTGCATCTGAGCTCTCCCAGCTCCCTGCCAGGTCCCAGGGTACATTCTCAGTTACCTGATCTGCCATCCCTTACCCACGTGCCATCCCATGTCCTGCTGGTATCAGTGATTCTGGGGGGCTCCTGAGAAGGAGGTTCATGGTTGTGTAGAAGAGGATGTAAAGGCTGTGCAAAGCCCTGGCAGTACCTGTCAGAGCACGCAGGGAATATCTCATCACTCAAATCCCACCAAATCACTGCACTAATCTGCTCTGGTCTGTTAAATTTAGTGCTTTGGCCTTTGAGTTGCTTGTCTGAGCCTTGTACCTGTGTCACAGAGGTTTATGTGCTTTTGGTGGGAAAGAAATGAACTAATGAAAAGCCACAGAGTGAAGCTTAACTCAGTGTTTGCTCTAAAAAAAAAAAGGTCAGATGACATCTTGAAGTATTTGAAAATGCAAAATGGCATCATTAGGGTTCAGGTTTAGCAACCCTGGATGCAACTAGAAGACCCCTTCACTTCTTCCCTTTGCAGCCCTGTATTGACAAAACAGCAGCTGCAGATGTTTGGAAGGTTGTTTCCAAATCCTGTTAGTCAGTGGAATTAATTTTGTAAAAGCAAGCATGAATTTTTCAGTAACACGTGGAACAGAGCAGGAGAAAAGCTTTCCCCTCTATGGTGGGGGATCTAGACATCATGTGAAACAATGATTTGACCTTTGGAGATGCCCTTCTGCTTTGGGGTGACTGAGCTCACCTTTAGCACTTCTGGCTCTGCTGATCCCAGCTTTCTTTGCTTTACAGTTGTGTGGGGAGATATTTTGTTTGTTCAGGCTGTATCCTAGTTTTGCTCAGCTTTGGTAACTCAGTCCTGGGTGAGCACTGGGCTCTTCTCCCTGCTGGGACTTGCCCTTCTTGCATGTCCACAGAGACTTGCAGAGCTTTAAAAATGTAAATGAAATGGTTAATAGGTTGGAAAATCAATTATAATAAACATTCCTGGTATATAAACTATGTGTAAGTGTGGTTTAAATGAAGTACATTAAAGGCAGTGCTTTTCTTCATTTCTCCTGGCCAGGTCAGCAGGGTCTCAGTACAGTGCTGATTGATTTGATTAAAATGCATGTTCCACTGCACATTAGCTTGTGTTCTGGGTCACCAGGAGCCTGTGTTTGTACAAAGAACTTGGGAGAAGAGCTGCCAGCTTCTCTGAGTGCTTGTGGGGGCTTGAGTTGTGCTTTGCCCAGCAGAGTCTAGGACCACCACTGAAATAGGATTTGAAGGTGTAAATCAATATTTTAAAGCAGTAGAGAGCTGTCTGCTCCTTTGCTGAGGGATGACTCTTTTGAGTGTCTGGGTGACAGTGGGACCAAGTCACAGTAGTGCAGATCTTGTGGTGAGAGACAGTGAATGCACCTGTGTGCTGCCCTAGGAGATGTAAAACCTTGTGGGCACTCATGAAGGAGACTGTGTGAACACATGGATGTGTGACTGTGGCAAAGACAGGTATAATAAGTGCCAGAAGATCTCAGGTGGATAACATGGAGAAGATTCTACTTTAGCTCTCATACATGCATGGTGGCTGTCCTCTTTGGGGATTCCAGAGCCAGGTGACAGCTCTGTTCATCCTTCCCCATCCCACCATCCTTTCTCACCTCTCTCTGCCCGCAGGAGACTAGAGAGGAACCTTTTTAACTGCAGCTGTGACATCCGCTGGATCCAGCTCTGGCAGGAGAAGGGCGAGGCAAACCTGCAGTACCAGGATCTCTACTGCATGACCATGGATGCAGCCATCATCACTTTGAAGGAGATGAACATCACCCAGTGTGGTAAGAATCCCTGGGCTGGACATGAGAGAGGCCAGGAGGGATCCCTGTCCAATCCAGCACCTCAGGTTCAGCTATTTTGGGAACCTGATGTAGCAGGATCCCACCATGTACGTTGAGAACAAGAAGGTTGAAGCTGGTTGGGATAGTTTGTAGGTTAAAAATAGAATATCTGGGTAAATGTGAGGCTGCTATTAATGTCTGTATGAAAGATATTGGGTGATTTGGGGCATTTTCTTCACTGCAATGCTGCTGCTTGACAAAGTGTCTGTAGTGAGTCTGTGTGATGTCTTGAAAAGAGCTGTTTCATGTAGATCTTCCTGTGCCTAACGAATCCTGGAAGCAGCATATTGTTAAAAGACACCGACACCGAATCTTTTGTAATTACTCTTAGGAAATACATGTCTCTATTCATTTTCTTTTGTTTTATTTTTCAATTGAAATCCCTTATCTGTAGGGAAGAGCCAGAAGTGACTTTATATCTCTTTTTATTTCCTGCTGATGTTTAAAAGAGTCCAGCGGCCCCAGGAGCAATGCGAAGCATGTTCAATAGTTATCCCTTTTTCCTTCACCTTGTTCACACATCAGCTGCCTGTTTGGTGTCAGGTTTTGCTCTGCTATTGCTATTACTGGAAAGCATCCCTTGCAGAGAAAGGAAAAAGAGATGTACCTTTCACAGGGCAATTAAACTGCCTGTACACAAGCAGATGTCAAATTCACAGGTTGAAAAAGGGAGGAAAACCAGACTTTTTTTTTTTTTTAATAATCGTCCTCTCTACTAGGGATTTGGGCTTGTTACTTGTAGATAGTATTAGACAAACAGCATGCACGTTTGGATTTGCATGACTTGGTTTTTTGTTGTTTTGTTGGTTAGTTGTTTTTTTTTTTCCAAGTTCACACTGTCTCTTTAAGCTCTGGAAATTGTCCAAAGTGTGCCTTCGTGTGGATGAACTAAAAAGATTTGAGAGTTCTGTAATTTCCGCCCCACATGGGATGAATAAACTGCAAGGATTAAACAACAAAAAAATCCTTAGGGATCAGGGACAGGAGGAGAGATGGCTCTGTCAGTGGTGGCATTAGACTGCAGGGGACAGCAGGGTGCTGATTTGGGAGCAAAATTATGCTAGTGTGTAGGGTAGGCACCTCCTCTGACTGTGCAAACTCCTGGAAGGGCAGGGAGCCATGGTGGTCTGCTTTCCTCCAGAGGAGTCTTTCTGTTCCAGTATTAAGATTCCAGGGATGTTATAAAGGCACCATATTTATGTCCTTTGCTGCTGAGGGCAGGCGTGGCTTGGTGTGGCCATGTTTGATACTAGCTCAGCTTGGAGAAGACCATACATGTCCTTCCCACCTCCATTTCCATTATTCCTGCCACCTATGCAGCTTCTTTGCTAGGTGTTGACTGCTGCTTTCTTTCTCCTGGCATCCCCCCAGTCAGTTCAATGCTCCTTCCTTCCTGGTGTCACTCTGTGATGGCCATGAAAGGGTGTGTGTCCCCATCCATGACTTTGCCTTGGCATGATGGGTTCTGCTGCCCTGCACTGGGACCACTGGTGAGTTCTTCCTGCCTGGCTTATTCAATTGGCTCCTGAAAACTTCCCCTATTCAAGAAGACTATTTGGCCTTCTTGCAACCAGCACTATCTTGTTTCACGTTGCAAGGATATTGGTGCAAATCAGAGCCACCATAAATCAGTGAATCCCTCTGCTACCACCGAGGAAGAGCAAGGGCACCTTCTATTAGGAGAGCTGCAGTTACTATGAGGACACATCCTTGGTCATCTTTTCTTGATTGTTATAAATTAGAGGGACACTTTCTTTACCTGGAGTGCTGAGTGCTCTGTGTCTTGTCCCTGGGGCTGATCGCCTCCCAGTACACACAGTTTTCTCATCCTGGGTGACTGCCCTTGTGAGCAGCTTCTGTGGGAGTAGAGAGATGGGTATGGGGATTGTGTGAGGGTAAGAGTGGCCAGAACTGGGCAGCAACTTTTGGATTCAAAGCTGATGAGAGGGTCTGCTCAGCTGGCACATCTCCAGTGTCTACATTTTCCCCTGTCTCCAACACCCCTCGTTTTCTTGGTAGGGCAAGGCCATTCTGTTGCCTCATGCTACTCATCTCAGGGTGCTGGAGGCTGATTTGGAAAACAACTTGGTGGGATCCGGGTCCACACACTTCCTGTGGCTGGCTGTAGAGAATTCTGCCCCACACCTGAGCATTTTTTTTTGGCTCCTCTAGACCTTCCTGAGATCAGTGTGAGCCACGTGAACCTGACGGTGCGGGAAGGGGAGAACGCTGTCATCACCTGCAATGGCTCAGGATCACCACTGCCAGACGTGGACTGGACAGTGGCAGAGCTCCACTCCATCAACACCCACCAGGTAGGGGCTGCAACACCTCAGTGCTGCTTGTGCCCAGTGTGGAAAGAGCAAAGCAGCTGCCACGGTTTCCTAGGTCCATGCGTGCAGGGCAGAGGGTCAGGTATATGGTATGAGAAAAGAGAAATTGTTGTATCCAAAGAAAAGCTGAAGCCATGGTCTACCTATATGACAAGCTGGGGACTCCCAGAAAGGAGCAAAACCTTTCCTCTGTATGGCCAGAAAGTGAAGATGAGAGAGTTTCAGAGCTCAGTGCTCCCTGATTGAATTAACTTATGTCCTCTGATGGAACTCCAGTGAAACTACCTTTACAATAGCTAAGTAAGATTTTCTAGAGGCCAGTCATGCTTATCAGTGCTACAATGCCATGGCTATCCCCAGTATTTCCTCTCACTGAATGAAATACCTCCATTCACCCAGATCCCAGCTGTCTTTGGATTTTGGAGACCTCCTCACAGGGAAACTGTGATCCTCCTTTTCTGGGGGTGGTAGAGGGGAGGAAAGGAGCCACCAGATACTGATTTCTGTGTTTCTCTCTGGGATTTTTAGACCAACCTCAACTGGACCAATGTTCATGCCATCAATTTGACCTTGGTGAATGTCACCAGTGAGGACAATGGATTCCTGCTTACCTGCATTGCTGAGAACGTGGTGGGGATGAGCAATGCCAGTGTGCTGCTCACTGTCTACTGTAAGTACCAGTGGAGAGACCTTGTCCATACAGAGCCCAGAGGGGGTGCCCTGGGAGCTGTTTGAGTGCATGGCCATCTGCTACCTGTGTCATACTGGTTTGTGGGTGAAGACTGGGAGGAGCTGAGCATAGTGAGATGGAGGTGGATCCTCACACAGCTCACTCTCTCTCAAATGTCAGTAATTTTACTTTCCTGGTGCTTCCATTAACCCAGAAATGAGCACAAGAGCAGGGTGCTGCAGTGGTGGTGGTGGGCATTTCCTGCCTGTGCCTTGGAAGATTCAACAGACGAAAGGAAAGGCATAGTGGGATTAAAAATCTCTTAACAAACACAAAGTTTCTTGTCCTGGCACTATGTGAGAGGTTCAATGGCACCCTTGCAGTTTAAAACTTGCCAGTAATTTCAGGGATGTTAATGCTTCCTCTCAGGTCAGATCCTACAAACTGCAAATGTCATACAAATGTGCACATCGTGCAATTGTGTCAAATTTGAACTGTTCACTTTTATCTGCAAGTAGCTCAACTTTCTTTGCGCTTTCTAATATAACAAAACCCTGACCTTAAAAGGAAGTTTACACAGCTTTGTGGTCTCAAGCAGCTGAGATTTGCTATATTTTGCTGTGTCTGTAATATTTGCCCTTACTCTGTAGTTTGAAAATCAACACCCCCAACCTTGCCATGTAGAACCTTGTGAACCAAGAGAGCCTTGTGAGGTTCTGGCCACTCTTGGTAAACCCATGCACACTGTGTGATGCTTTACTACTTTCATCTTCCTTCCAATAAGTGCTATTGATGGATGGAAGGATGAAGGTAATTAAAGTTTAGCCCAGCTCAGAGCTGACTGACTGGTCAGCAGACTAGACCAGGGTATTTTTTGCAAGGTGTTTTAGCATCTGCTCCTCCACACCTTAAACAGCACTATGCTCATGCTTATTTTCACCCATGAAATCCTCTAAGCTGCTGACAGTTTCTGCTACCCTTGCTCTTGTTGCACAGAGCCATCACTCAGGCTGTAATTTCACACTGGAAAGATCTGGGTTTGTGAGTGTAGGTGGCTGCCTGTTTTGAATCCCCCTTGCCAGGAGGATATGAACAAGCCACATGCGGATCTGGGCTTGCGAACGAGAGAGGGTGGCTGGGACACGACTGTGGTTCAGGGTAGATGGGCACTGGTGGGAGAATTTTCCTGAGCTCCAACCAGCTCTGCACCTTCTTTTCTTCTGTCACCTTCACTGGCTTAAAAATTCGCTGTCATTTTTCACAAAGATGGGTCAAATTTGGTATGTTGGTTTTCTTCCTTGTGGATGCCAAATGGATTGTCTTTGCAGCTGGATGGTGGCAGGAAAGGGAGAGTTTTAGGGGAGACATGCATCTTTGTGTCGTATCTTTGCACAAAACTTGTTCTTCTAGTTCAGACCTTGCCAGCCTTGGGGTTTGGGACCTTAGGTGTAGGCGTTGTAAATGGGCTTTCAGAAGCTATAGCAGAGCAACATTTAAATTCTTGGTGTGTCCCAAGGGGAAGACAATGCATATGCAATAAATTGCAGGTGGAGTTTCTGCTTTTCTTATCCCTCTCCCACTCTACTCCCTTTAATTAAAACACCCCTGGAGGCTGTTCGGCGAGTGAGAACTCCTTTGGGATATTCAGGCAGTCAAAGCCCCCAAGGACAGACAGTCTCTGAGGGATGTTTGCTTCCACAGCTATGCAATCCAGAATTGCTTGGTGTGACTGAGAGCTCCCACGGGCACCTTACACACGTGCAATGTAACAGTGCTACGTCACCGTGTCCTTCTTAATGGGGACAGGCAGTCTCCCCAGGATCCCTTGGGGGAAGGAGAGCAGCAGTAGATGTGTGGACAGGACAGTTCAAGCTTAATTGTTTCTGGGCTGGTGAAATTTCCATCCCAGTCTTTAATTTATACCCCTGTTTGGAAGGGCAAGAGGCCTGGCCATGGCTCAGACCCTCCTTCCAGGGGGAGTGGAGTGGTTCTCATGACAGTGCTGCTTCTTTACAGACATCCATGGGAAGAGTAGAAGGAACAAGTGATTTTGGAGGTTTTCAATGCTCTTATTTTCCGTGGTGCACAGAGTGGTGACGTTGGGTGGAGGTTGCTGTGAGCCTGCCATGTTTCTCTCTGCTAGATCCCCCTCGCATCCTTACCCTGGAGGAGCCGGTGCTACACATGGACCACTGCATTGCCTTTGCAGTGCATGGCAACCCAGCTCCCACCCTCCACTGGCTGCACAACGGCCAGGTCCTCCGGGAGACAGAGATCATCCGCATGGAGTTCTACCAGCAAGGGGAAGTGTCTGAGGGTTGCCTGCTCTTCAACAAACCCACTCACTACAACAATGGCAACTACACGATTGTGGCTACCAACCAGCTGGGCTCGGCCAACCAAACTATCAAAGGACACTTCCTTGAAAAGCCTTTTCCAGGTAGGATATTCAGTTTATCTCATCAGGGCTCCTTGAAATCCAAAGGTCTTACTATGGCCCTGCCAGTAATCCTTGCACCTCAACAAGGCCTCGACAGCCCATGTTGGCTTTGTCTGAACATCAGGTTGGAAGAGGTGACTCCTGGCAACCTCCTCTTCTGACCAGTATGATTTTCATACACAAGTGTACTTTGGTGTCATATGAACCCTTTATGCTGGGAGAGGTGCTAACTGTTTTAGATGATTTTATTTTGTAGCATATTCTGCAGTGTATTTATTTATTTATTTTAAAAGTCTTTAGAAATTTCAGTGGCAATAGGATGTAAGTTTGGCCAATTATTTCAGATCTCCTTTTGGTGCCCCAAAGACATTGCTGATTTTTTTTCTAGAGAAAGTGTTCTGCTGTGTGGTAGTCATAAGCTATAGAAAGGAAAAGCCTTTAAAGTGATGCAGCCTGTCCCTTTAGTTTTTTTACTTCTAGCTTGCATTTGTGAAATGATTAAAGCTGGATGCAGCGGTGTCAGGATTGTTTTCTTTCCGAATGCAATATGTGCAATTCTAGGATGACAGGGCTACAAAAAATGCGACAGCTCAATTAGTCACTTTGCATCAGTTTGTCAGAATTTCTTAACTGATTGCTTGGAATTCCCTGTTGTACTCCCTGGTGATTCACAGCTTAAGTGCAAAAAAAAAAAAGCATTTGAGGACATGAAGATCCATCTTTGGGAAGTGCTGTAGAGACTTTTGTTGTGGCCTGTCAGCTTTATGGGAGCATCTTGGTCTGCTCCCTGACAGTGCAACACCATGCTGGCCATCATGGAGTTAAGATCTGTGCTGCCTTCAGGAATGATGCCATGAGAAAGTGGCAGCTCTAAATTGGCCCCTGCAGCCCAAGAAAATCCAGCAAAATAGGGCGTTTGCTAAATATAGCAAAATACCAACGGTACTCTCATTTATTATTTATATCACACCATATATGTACACAGAGTTTTCCCGCAGGTCAAATATCATAAATGCAAACCCAAATCTCTGCCTTGAAGATCTGACAATTGAACAAATGAGCTGATATGGATAGGAGTGGAAAATTTGTATTCGGACTTCAAGGATGCTGCCCTGTTTGACTATCTGACCTATTTATGTTTCCTTCTGTCAGGGCAGAAGAGCTTATCAAATGTAGGTGGGCGAGGAGAGCTGCACAGGTTTGCAGTCTCAGCTCTGTCAGGTCCCACCTTTGTGACTCAATTTCCCCATCTGTGAAATGGGGGCAGCTCCTAAGTAGGTGCTGGACTGCAGGAAAGGGAGGCAGATATGCTGCTCTGGAGAGCTGATTTTGGAAAGGGATCTGAGCCACGCTGTGGTGTGGGAAAGCACATTGATGCCTGAAGAGCATCTTGTGTTAGAGGCTCTGGGAGAATGGGGTTCTGTGAATATGTGTAAAATATTGCCCTTGTGAATGCAGCTCCAGCCACGCTTCATGTGTTGTTGGTGTGGGGCGCTTACTGACCCTGAGCCATCTCTCAGCAGGAGCTGACCCATTTCCTTTATTTCTTCTGATCCAAAGTCCCAAGCCATTGCTCACCCTGGCAGACCCTGTCAGCCCAATGCAGGATGTAATTTACTTTCCTTGAAGCTTGTTGCTTCGTCCACTACCACAGCTGACACATACATTCACTGCAGCTGACGTTTATAATTTCCCATTTGAAGGTAGATTCCTTCAGAAAATGCCACACATTGAAGGTTCCCCAGCGTGCCTCGTTCGAGCCCCTTGTTGCTTACAGCAATTCACAGGTGCAAGAGCTTTGCTGTCACTACCCAGGGTGAGATTATTAGTTTTAATTAATTAATGAAAGCACAGTGCCTGGAAGACTTTGTCAGCATAGAAAAGGACCTATGACCATGTATTTTAGAACTCCCTAGTCAAAAAGCCTCTCATTGGTAAATGGCCACACTCTGCTTTCCAGGCTGAGAGGAGCAAGGTGCTGTCAGAAGCTGGGATCTGGGACATGTAAGCTCCATGCCATGTCTGCCTTCTCTCTGATGCTGCAGGGCAGTGGCTCCCAGGACAGATTTGTGTCATTCCCCGTAAAAATCTCATTGCATGTTGTCATTGGTATCTCTGCCACAGGCTACCAGCTCCTTATTTAATCCACAAAGGTTAATGTACCCGTGATGAGTGTTCAGTTCTTCGGGAACTTCTTACAGAACTCAAGTTGGCTGAAATTTCTTGGCTATTTTTTATGCTTGGAAAAATAGGGTTTAATGGAAAAAAACCCCTTTTTGTGCATTTCTGTTGAATTTGCTTAGTCCAGCAGAGAAAAATGGAAAGGGGGAAATGTAGAAGCAGCAAGAATTTTACAACAAGACTTTGCCTTAATAGAGGAGAAAAAGTTTCCAAATAAAATATTTCCCCCCCTTGCTAAAAGCCAAGGAAAGTTACTCGTCTACTTGACTTAAAATATTTATTCAGGTTTTTTCCCCTGGTTTGGAAAGCTGTTTGTCACCTGGGGTTTGTTTTACATTCCCCTCCCAAACCTCACCCATGCTCCAGTGTGAGTGTTCCAGCATCCTTCCAGGAGCCCTCTGCCAGCAAAGCTGTGTAAACTCCAGTTAATATCGGGCTCAGTTTCTTACACGGGCGAGTGAATTGGAAGCTGACGTGATTCTCCCTCTGTGTAAACTGAGTGTCATGAGGGCTTTAGAGCTCACTGTCTGGGGTCTCAGCCACCTCTGAAGCTGAAGGAGCTTTGCTGAATAGACTGGAGCAGTCAGCAGGATGACAGCAGGGCCTGCTGTGGCTGTCTGGGGCAAGAGGCAGCTCTTGGGCAGCCACAGCCTCTGTGTCCAGCTCAGGAGCTATCAGCTGGTCTGACTGACTCGTGAAAAACAGGTCAGAGGAGGTCTCCTCCAACTCCCAGCCCCAAACTGGGCTCCTCTCCATGGGACTTGGTCCTCACCCTTGAAGGATTTTATCCATGGCAAAATCTGTTTCTCTCCTCTCCACCTCCATCCCGCAGAGCCCTGTGTGTCTGTTGAGCTTTGCTCACCTGCTGAAAGCAGGGTTGTTTACCAATCATTCAAAAGTGCTACTTGTTCTCCATTTTGGCCTCACAGTAGTATCCCTCCCCTCCTCTTTCAGCCCAAGCTTCTCCATCCTGACCTCCAGCATGTCCTGCTGGCACATGTGCTGTAATTTCCAGGAACAGTTGCCCAAGAAGAAAAAAATATGAAAAGTTGGTTTCCTGGGCTCTTTGGGGGGGTGGATTGTGTCTGAGGCGGGTGGGGAAGGACACCCCTCTCCCTCTGCTGTGCTGTTAACTGTGTTGCTTCTCTCTTTGTCCTTTCCACAGAAAGTACGGACAACTTTGTCTCAAGTAAGTGTCTCCTTGCCTTCTGAATACTGTGGCTGGTTTCCTTCTGTGGTTTACCCTTCCCCTCTGTAATTTACATAGAAAAAATGAAGAAGCCAGAAGCAGGCTGGTGGAGGTTGCACAAAGCCCTGGCTTCTCTGTGCCTGAACAAGATTGTTGGGAAGTTTGTAATCAGCTTGGTAATCTCATGAGATGTTCATCTGTCTCTAGTGGTTTCCCACAGAAGGTCCTATAAAGGAAATGATGGTTGGTTGTAGTGTAGCAAAAGGGATCTTAATTTCATGTAGGCTGGGCTGTCCCCAGCAACAACATCTCTCTGGTGTGGGCTGGGACGAGAAGCAGGGCTCAATTCTGTCACGTTTCTTCAACAGATTCTTCTTCCATTCCCCCCAAAACACATCATACACCACACACCACAAAAGGCATTCAATTTACTGTTTCTTCAGATCAAAATTTGCTGGAGACTGTTGTGTTTTAACCCCACTTAGCTCAGTATATTCCTGAAAACTAGGAAGAGGGCTCAAGGGTGGTGGGAACCTATTCCAGACACCAGGCACCCAAATGTTTCTCATTTGTGAGGCTGGAACAACATCAGTATAGTGCTGGTCTGTGTTTTCTCTGCTGATGTGCACAGGGAACTCTCTGATAGTTGATTTGTGCCTTCTGAAACAGAAAGCTGCAGCCTCTTTTAGGGGTGAACTGAATCTCCTTAGGCCAGGCACTGCTGTTGGAATGTGCTGGTGCCTTGGGAATCCCCTGGGAGCCACACTGAATTTTCTGTCTTTGGTGTTTTGGTTTCAGTCGGTGATTATGAAGTGAGTCCCACCCCACCGATCACTGTGACCCACAAACCAGAGGAGGACACTTTTGGGGTGAGTCCTGGTCTCTTCTCTACAGAACTGCTTTGCATTCATTCCTTGTTATTGATGACTCAGTATTTGTATTTCTCTGCTGTTTTGAGATTTGTTTGCAAGGAAAATCTCTTCCTTTATGGCTCAAGACAGCAATCAGAAGGATTTTGTGGCTTGTGTCAAGCAGGTAAAATACTGACACAAACCATCTGATCCTCTTGGGTCTGCAGTGTGGAACCAGGGAGCTCTTTGAAAACAAGGCATCCTGTGAAGTCTGTGCTGACAGGGTCAGGAATTCTCACTCTAAAAAAGTAGCACCCAGAGAACAAACAAACAGGCAATTGTGTGTTTTTGAACTGTTATTGATCTGTTAAGCTTATCCTGGTGAGGGACCTGGGTTTAGTTTGGTTCAATTCTGTCAATGTCTGTTTGCCCTCTCTCCTGCTGTGCAGGACATACCTAAAATGAAAAAGGAAAATAAGTCTAGGGCTTATCAGATCTCAGCATTGTCTTTCTTCTGCAGAATCCCGGCAGAAAAAAAGAAAAAAAAAAGTGTGCATAAGTATTAGAAGAGAAAAATTAGCATGTTACACAATTGCTCTAATTCTGTGAAAGTTTTAAGATACTGAAATCCACGAGGTGTCAACAGAATAAGCAAAATTCAATCCACCCTGGTCTCAGTTCTCGTCTAAGAGAAAACCTCCTTTAACAGAAGTGGAAGGTTTGAACAGTGAGGCTGGAGTAATAATGTGCACTGATTATTAAATATAAAGTGCAGAAAAAAAGCTGGGAATGAAAATAGTGTGGTAAAATAAAAATTTTAAAATATCATAACAAATGTACCAACAGCAGGGAAAAGGATTGCAAAATGAAATTACTTCTTCTTGGTTAAGTGATGTATTTTCTATTATAGCAGAATACAGTTTTGTAAAAGGAAGCAAAGCCTAAATGCATCACAAGACCTAGTAGAGAACAATTGGACACATGCCAGAGAAATTGTTGTTTACATCAATGCAATAAAAGTATTTTGAGCAAAGACTTGAAGGAATAAATATTCATAAATATTAAAATAAGCCTGGGATTGTAAACCCTTTAGGGCAAGGAGGTTTTCTTTCCCTGCTTGTACACTGCCACAGTGGAACCACAGCTCCAGTGAAGGACTTGGACATTGTGGTATAAATATTTACTAGTAAAATTACAAAAAATAGGGAACCGTTAGAGGTTTTTGAAAAACTCTGATGTTTTACAGGGAAAAACTCCTTAGTTCTACTTAATTTCTTCTGTTTTCACTTTGTGTTGTGTTATTTCCCTCACTCTGTCCTGAGGCATGTTTGGATGGAGGCAGAATTGTGTTCTCAGCTGAGCTTTGAATAGCTTTAGTGTTGTAATGTCATGGCAAAGAGGTGATGTCAGAAATGGGGGCTTGGGATGTGATGCAGTGGAGGGAGAGCCCAGACATTGGAGCAGAGGTCTGTTTTCCCTGCAGATATATAGTGAGAGGCTGGGGAAAACTGGTGCCACAACAGCATCACTGATGGGAAGATCCCAGACCTCCCAGTCCTGCAAAAAGCCTGAAATTCCTCCAAGCTGTGCCAGGGCCTGCTGCTTTAGCTTGTGTTTTCCTCCATAGCTGGTATCCAGGGGGCTGCAGCAGATGGTGTGAGCCTATAGAAAGGTTAACTGGGCAAGGAGGTGCTGTATTCCTGATTTAAACTCCTAAACTCCTCTGTGTTGACTCTAAGGCTTTTTCCTTCCAGGTTTCCATAGCGGTTGGGCTGGCAGCTTTTGCCTGTGTCCTCTTGGTCGTGCTCTTTATTATGATCAACAAGTATGGCCGGCGGTCCAAGTTTGGGATGAAAGGTAGGTGCAGTCACTTTCCCCGAGCAGGAGGCACCTTCCAGGATTGCCCGGCTCTTATAGCACACGTGGAAAGGTGGTGTGGCTTTATTCCTACAAGGCAAAGCCTTCTCAAGGGACTGCAGTGCTCTCCTGTTTGTTGAGACAGTAATGGAGACAAGTGGGCTTGTGGTTCTCACCTGTGGGAGCTTCTGTGGGCAGAAGGGTGGAGGTTCCTTAGGAGCACATAACTGCATCTACAGGTTGTGCACAAGAGCTTTGAGCCTGCTGCCTCCAGCCCTGCACTGTGTTCAGGACAGCATGGTCTTGGGTGAAATCTGCTTTATGGACTTGGTGGTGCACAGGTGCAGGGGGCACAGAAGAATGTGAAATTGGTTTGAGTTCTGTTGGGAAGGCAGGCGCAGCCACTCTGCCTATCTGTGAGTGGGGACTGAGATGCTGCTGTCACTTTATGTCCACACTGGGAAGGCAGTGGTCTGGAAGGTCTCTTTCTGGTGCCTCTCTGATGAAAGGTTTTCTTTGTGTCATATTCATGACTTCAGAAATTTGTTTCAAGTGTCACTGATAGTGACTGTGAAGTGAGAAGGTGTTTGATGTTTGCCAGGCAGAACCGGTCTCTGTCCTACCAACACCAGCTCTGTGATGTGACAGAGCCAATGCCAGAGTAGATGATTCTGTGCCATCTGCTTTTTGTGACTCTGCTGGTATCTCCAGCTGGGCAGCGTTGGTGGTGCCCGGTGAAGGCTGAAGGAAGAGCCTTCACATGACAAAGTAGTACCCAGTGTAACTGGTGGCTCATGCATGCAGTGTTTGAAGCCAGGCTTTGACAAACATGAGCTTCTCCCAAGGCTCCTGAGTCACAGCCTATTTCCTGGCCTTGCTGTGGTCTGTGCTGCAGGGCAGGTTGATAGGTTTGGGAATGTTCTCTGCACTTGCCTAGGGCTTTGTTTTCTTCACGTAGACATTTCCTGAGTGGGTCCAGATGGGATTCTAGCTGGAGCTTCTCCTATGCATCCTATGGAGTTAGAAGACAGGACATTTAATTAAATAGTGAAACTTCTACACCAGCTTAGGAATATTTAGTCCATATGTCCAATGATAAGAACCATCTGGTGGAGTGTACTGACTGGTGGGTGGAGTAGAGGAATGGAAGACATGGTTCCTGGGATCAATTCCCAGCTCTTCTACTGACTCATTTAGTGGCCATAGGCAATTAGCTGTCTTAACCTCTGTCTCTGCTCTAATTTCCCCATCTGTAAAACTGGGATGATGTTATGTGCTTTCTGGAGGGATTTGTCAGAACACTTTGGAAGTGCTTGGGCATGTGCCACTGATGGAGCTTGGAGATACAAATATGAAAGGAAAAGTAACATCTGACTCTAGTGGAAGAATCAAAGAGGAGTGAAGTGAGCCTAATGTGAGTAACGAGTCATGGTGAACAGATGTGTGTACGTGTTTAGAGGTGTTTGGATAAGTATGGATATTCTGCATTCCCAGAAACCAGAGGGGTGCCATGATGGGCCCTTGTGTGTGAAGTTTAACAGAGGCAAAATTGTTTAGCTAGAAAAGTCTGCTTTCCTCCTCATCATGCTGTGTTCCTTCCAATTCTGATATGAAACCACAACTCTGCAAAGTTTCTACAAGTTCTTTTGGCTTTGCTTGGAGAAACAGAGTTGAGAGAAGACAAATACATCTTCAAAACCAGGGAGATTATTAAGTCACAATTGTCATAGGCACCACCATAGCCTACTCACACTGCCCAAACTCTGCTCTGCTCAGTTAACTCTTGAGCAGGAGGCATCCTTTATGGCACCCAGTGTGTTATCATTTACTAAGGAAAAAAAATAAATCCAAACCCTGAGTCTTTTTTGGGCAAGTGCATCCCTGATTCAGGAGCTGTTTGTTGCCAGCTGATATCTTGCCACTTGTTGTTGAAATCCCAGCTTGGCAGGCCTGCAGGAGCAGGTTTTTCCTGTTGATTTTGTCAGATGCAGAACATTGTGTGCTCGTGTTGGACATGTTACCTAAAGCACCTCATGAATCTATCTGAGTACATCTTTTTCCTTCTGCTTCTCCTAGTGCTGAGCAGATGGTTTATTTCCTAGAGAGAAGTGAACGTGGACTGACAAAGTTGGATGTCACGTTGGGCTGGGAAGGTTCCCCGGGCCAGCCTATTGGGTTGCCCACCAGGCTGCCGAATGTCCAACATCCCAGCTGCTTTCACTGGAAAGAAAGTCATTGTGACTTGAGGGATATGCGCTGGGAGAGGACTCCGAGGGGATGGTCTGTCCACCTTGATCTTCTTGCGGCTGGCAGCACCCCCTTGGAGCAGCGCAGCAGAGGCAGAGCCGGTCACTGATCCCGCACACGGAGCCGGGCAAGGCTGCAGCGCTGGCACCAACAAAAGCTCCTTTGAGAGCCGCTCTGACGAGCTGGGCTCGCCCAGCCTGGCTCCGGGCCACCCCTCCGGAGAGGGCATTCGCCAGCACGGGACTGAAATCCCCGCTCTGGCCGCCTGTCAGCTTTGGCTGCTGGAGCAGGGTGGGCAGCGGAGCCGGGGATGGCTGGTGGAGCGGCAGGGAAACGGCAAACAAAGCTCCCTTTTGTCAGAAGTGGTGTGGCGTGAGCAACAGAGAGGCACTGGAGGGAAAACCACTGGGGAAAATGAATGGTAAAACTGAGACTCGCTGAAGCTGAAGAAATGCAGCCACTTGCTGAAGGGTGTGTTATCCAGAGGGGGGGGGGGCTGGGATGCTTTTTATTAGTGTGGGAAAAAGAAAAGGGTCTTACCAAGCAAGAAATTGAAATTTGGTGTCCCTTGGTTCTTTGGTTTACTCTGTGTCCCAAGAGGGCGTTTTTGGTTTTGTTTTGGTTTGGTTTTTTTTTCCCTTGGATGGGACAGACCACATGGGAATAAGGAGCCCAAGATCCTGTTCCCAGTCACTGCTTGCTCCAGCTCTGGGGCCAGTGTCCCACGTTCCCTGACTGCCCACCCAAGGTGGACGGCTTTACACCTCACCTCCTGGGGTCAGGCTTGTCACTGCAACCTTGTAAACAGTGTCTTCCAATCCAAGTTTAATCTCAGAGCAGATGACAGGAAATGAAATTTTGTAGTATAATAAAAAAGCCGCATGCAAGTCCCAGGACTAAGAAAAATTAAATTTCATGAAAAAGTAATAATGGCACAGAAAAGATCTAGGGCATACAAAAAATTTGGATGGCACAGTGATGGAGACTGCAAATACTTAAGTTGATGGACTGAAATATATTCCCCTTTTACTTGCTTTCTGTTACATTTGCAAGTGCCTCGGGATGAAGGACGTGTGCTCATGCATATCTGTGAGATGTATTCCTGGTACTGCACAGCTTCAATAAAACCCAAATAGAGTTAGCTGAGATATGCAGAGCAAGGTGCTAGAGAAAATCTAGAGACAAGAGCAGTAGTTTTGTAGTTTTGCTGAGATTAACTGTTTTTCAGACTCTAAGATTAAAAACTACTTCCATTGTCCAAACAAGGTTTTCTTCCTCGAGTGGAGCCAGTGCCAGCTAATGGTTCAAGACTTGGTTACAGCTGGCAAAAAGTCGATTGGTTTTTAATCTGATTTCCTAAAGAAATAAAGCGTGTGATCATGCTGCCTCTCTGTACACATGCAAGTGTGTGTGCACAGCTCTGCCTGCCTGGATTTCCCCTTTCTGTGCTGCAGCTTCTGGATGTGCTGGCCAGTTCCACCCAGAGGAGAGGGAAAAGCAATTACAGGTGACTTTACAGGGATCATGGAAGTAAGGGAACTTAATAGAATGATAACTCAAGTGATGTCCTGCTGATAAAAATGCCTGAAGCCTTTCTGGGCATTGGAGAATTCATATGGAAGCTCAGCCTGGGACAGAAAAATAGGGATCAGGCTTTCACGGGTTCTGCTGTGGTGGGTGGTGTGCACGTGTGTGCACATGCATATATGTGTTTTCTTTCTGAATAAGCAGAAACAGCAAGGAGGTGGGGGAGAACCGAATGAACAGTAAACAAATACTGCCCACACTTTCTGTAATGTTTGAGGAATCCCATCGCTATCAGTTTATTTGATATTTGCTCTAATAGCCCTGATCAAAGTGCTGGCACTGCTGATGTGCATGTGGACGTCAGAAATACTTGCAGAGCTGTTCCATTGTAATTTAGTGTTAGTTAAAAGGTACTTAAAGCAGTTGCCTATTTGATTATGATTGGGGGCCATTAACATTTTTTTCCATAAACAGATGGTTACTGTCCACTGAGTTGATTGCAGAACAATTCCAGAGTTCTAATTCAAGAGGAGCAGCTCCTGCAAAGATATCTTGGGTGCCTGGCTTTTTGCTTTTGTTGATTTGGGTTTTTAATGTCTGTCTTTTTTTTTTTTTTCCCTCTTTCATTACGTAATTATTGCTAGAGCTTCAAAGTAGGGGGGTAATTAAAAAAAAAAAAAGTCAGACCCATGATCTGCTTTTCAGATGAGGCTTAATTCTGTCCCATGTTGCCTTGGCCAAGCCTGGCTATAATCATACACTGATTTTATTTTTCCCCACCCTGATTATTTGTTGTACAAGCATGGAAATCCCTCTGCAGCTTGAAGAGCCTGCACATCAAGGGTTAGCTGCTCAGGAGAAATCTGTGATTAGGGCCCTTTCATTCCTTCCTCCTGGGAGCTTGCCATGTAGTGGGAGCAGGAAGAAAGAGCAAAGTACTATCAGTCTGGCACAGCTACAGGAGAGAAATAGCCATACATCAGCAGCCACAGTTAATTACAGGGATTTGGGGATGTATGGCTCTCCAGAGCAATGGACTGGAAAGGGGAACCCATTGCTGCTGTGTTCTTTGAGCTGGGTGTGAGATGTGCTGAGCCCCCTGAAACATCCAAGCAGAGTGGCTGCTTGGGACTGATGGAATTCAGGGGTTCTCCTTGCTGGTATCCTTCAGTTTGTTTGCAAATACCCTTGATATACTTCTACTCCTCAATATTACTTGGGTTTAT